GCCCAGTCTCCAAACAAGATTCCTCTTCCATCTCCCGCACCCCGCAAGAAGGGACCCTGGTCTTTGCTTATATCACTCAAGCGTACGAGCGCTGCCTCGGAAAGATAAAGGCGGCGAGGAATACGTTTGGCCTCGGCAACCTCAATGCCAGTGAGGCGGTTCAAGCAGTATGTGGACACGCACGCGAGGAGGACGAAAGGACTTTGCTACGACAATATAACGACCCCCAGACACTTTTATAGGGACAAAGGTGGTACACTCACCTTGCTCGCCGTCCATCTCACGATAATCTATCTAACCGGGTGGCGATGTCCCTTCTTATGCTCAAAACACTACAAAATGCGTATTCTTTAGATCTCCGCTCTGCATCTCTCGTCCCTCGTGGTTACGTTCACGGCTTTACCGTCTTTCCTCTTTTCGATCTTGAAAAAGTTGTGATTCCCATTACTGCACTTCTTTTCATTGCTATCTTGCTGAGCCTTGCGCTTTACATCGTCCGCATATTCTGTTTCTCCTTCCATATTGCCTCGCGCTGTCGTCGACATGCGATCTAGCGAGCTCTTTATGTGCTATCTACTCTTTCCAAGAGCTTATGATCCGTTTATCAGAACCATGCAAGGATTTTAAACACTATATGCTTTATTTCTCACACGAGGCACCCCTCTTCGATACCCTACCCTACGGGAGTTTCGAGTTGCACCTTCAGAACTACTGCAACTGCGTCTTTCCAGCCTTTTTACTACTTCTGTCTCTCGTGTGTTCAATTCACACATACTCGTCACGGGTACCGCGCTCATTCTCGCCGTTCGCCATGAACAACTGGATGTTCTTTTGTCCCAAACCTCCCAGTTGCATTCGATGGAGTACCCATTAAACCCTCGAATGTCGCGCATAAAGGGTATTGCTTGCATTGTGAAGGAGCTCTCCCCCTGCATCGATTGTGCGTGTTCGTTTTCCCGAGAGCACCATCACCTTCTATCGCTACGCAGAACTAAGATACGCAGAATAAAAGAGATCCCACAATAGTCTCCGTGCCAATCGATACGAGTGAAACAGTTCTCTCGCCTGCTCTGGTCCCTCATTAGGCCCAGACCTTCTATACCCGTTTTCGGCGGTGGCATACAGGTTCACGAAGAATACATACTCTCAAACTCCAGTATTTCTCATTGATCATCATTTATAATCGTAGCTGGGAGCTTTCTCGATTTATACGAATTTTTCTCTGTCCATTAGGCGTCGGTGTTTAGCTATTTTTGTATTTGGTAGTAGATAAATATAATACTTGAATTTTTTCATTATTTTGAAACCGAATTTGAATTACAAAGTCAGATCTCAGGAGCATGACGATAATGGACGCTCGCGTCTCTTCGACTTGGCTGCTCTGTTGTAGTTTCGAGTGGCAAGCCTCTTTGCCCTCTCTCTCTCCTTCTCTGCTTTATACTTATTCTCTGGATCGTCCATTTCGAAAGTATATTCTGGTAAGTGGCATGGCCCCGTGCAACTATGGACAATGTCGCTCAACCGAACTGCATTAGAGGAGCAGACTCAGGGACTAAGCTCTTATTCGCCTACTTTAATTACGTTCCTATCATCTCGTTTCATCGTGCTACCGTTTGGGAAGATAAAGCCGCTGCATAATCCGGATCAGCGCTGCACGTCATGTACGCAGATCGCTACTCTATTTTCCTCTTCTCATTCTTTTTTCCTTTCAGGTCTAAAGCCCCCACGAAGAAAGAATCAGCTTTGAAGCAGGCAAAACTCACCTTCGCCTCCTCGACGGCGCCCTCACGCCCCACGGACCGCGGGTCAAACAACCGCCCAAAGACCACTCCCTATCTAAGACCCGAAACCCAGCCCTCCTCATCGAAAACGCCCGCCCCCGCACTGAGCATCCCAAGCGCGAATTCCGACGTCGAAGCGGCGGTGTTGAGTTTTATCACTGCCAGCTATCGCTACTACTTCAAGCGCATCACCAGCGCAAGACAGCTCTTCTCCAGCGCCAGTGATCCACAAGCCGCCGTTCAGGCGGTGTGCGAAGTAGCCCGGAAACGGGACGAGGTGGAACCACTTCCCGGGGCGGATGTAGACCGCCTGTGGGCTCCGTTTAAGGAGCCTTCACCGATGATACAGTTGATTGGTGCAGACCCCCACAATTTCGATCCGAGCCCCTGGCTCGAGTCGGGGGTGCTCTCCACAGACACGGTCGCCGGAAAGCAGCAGGTTTACCTGCGGAGGAGATCAATGTCTCGTCTCGAGTACCTCTCGACGATGGAGGGGTACATCCTTGCAAGACCGGTGGATGCGGGTTGGGCGTGTGCCCGCTTGGCCGCGGATGGTTATGGCGAGCTTGCCGAGAGGACCCTCAACAGGGTTATGCAGTGCTTTGGGTATAATCTGGCCTTCACCTTCGACAAAGTCAAAGCCCTCGCCCATGACCAGTACTCCGACTGGTATGTTGGCTGGTCGCTCTCGAGAGGGGCTGAGGCCCGCCTGGAGGAAGATGCGGCGGCAAAAGGAAGTAGCCGACATTTAAATTATTCCAGAATTGAGCCGGGGGATTCTAAGGCGTGGGAGGCGTGGACGGTCGTCCCGCTCTGCCAGGAAGGCGATCGGCGGGCTTATCGCCAAGATCGCTTCCTAAGTTACCCTGAGGCGATCCTCGGAGACTGTCTGCCATTCTCGACCATGTCGGCTAGAGGAGGTTTCGCGCCCTTTACGCATCTTCCAGCCCGGTTCGCGGACTCGTGTCGACACCTGATGGCCTCTCTGCCAGGCCCAGTCCCCCACGTCCCCGCCAACGCACTCCGACAACAAATGTCTCAGTTTTACGACGATACCGAGTCGCTGTTCGAGGAGATGAGGATGTCCGGCCAGGCCGTTGGGCCAGCCATCGACCCTGCTATTTTTATGCAGGTCAAGGACAGGCTTGTCCAGCACCTTAACACAGTGCAAGGGCGCGTAATCAGTCTAACGGTGATGAAAGATTTGCCTCAAGAAGTACACCAGGGTCGGGTCAATGCAGTTATGTTCCCCCTTTTGAATGCAGAAAGTGAAGCGGGGAGAGCGCTTGCCATTCATGACGATATGATGCATCAGCTCTTTACAGCCTACTACGAAGAAAGAGAAGACATCGGAGAGGACATCCGGGACTTTTTGGGCCCGTACGTAGACTTTTGGGCTCTGATCATTCGGCATCGATGGTTTGGACTTCTCCTAGTCATTTTGGGACGACTCCTTCGTGCCTTGAATCCGCTCATCATTCACGGGTGGAGTTCCCACATGTCGTCAGTTTTCCGTCGCAGGGAACTCGCCGACCTCCTCGTGGAGATGGATGGTGTTCCTCTATCCTTGGCTTTGCTAAAGAACAAGCGCATCAAGGAGATGCAATACTCTCCAAAGGACAAGAAGTTTCTTTTCAACGCAGGAAAGCTCATCCCCTTCCGGATCGGGAATGGTCCCGAAGACATCTTCGCGGTCATGCCCACCATTGACTTTGGTCATCAAGGGTATAGACCCATCCTTAGGATCCACCGCCAGAGGTTTCAATACCTCACGATGGCCATGAGTGCTGCCCTCAACCGCATCGCAGCGGCGACCGTAAACAAAGCGGCACCAGGAACCCTCAAAACCGCCTTGCTTGAAGAAATCAAGGAGGCCTCGGACGCTCTTTACAGATCTAGCGGTATCACGGTACTTCTCGAAGAGACCCGCGCCGAGGTCATCGAAATGGAGAAGGGCCACGCGGCACTGCTTGGCCGGTTTGTTGCCGATGAAGAGGCAGGGAGCTCCAAGAGAAAGACGTATCCCAAGTCTATCAGTCGCAACTGTGGCCCTAGGGCACAGGGGGCAGCCGGTAGTGTGGAGCGCAGATCCCAGTTGCGAGAGTGGATCGAGGACGCCGAAGAGCGTGAAGGATGGGGCCTAGAACCAGCCTATATCCAACCGAATGGATGGAATATTCGTTCAGAGGAATACTACTCGTGGTTCATGGGGGTCCAAGAGGGAACATCCTTCACCTACTCCGCCAACGCCATCTCGAACGAGAACAGGTTCGATATTGGCGCTTTCAAAGCTCAAGAG